AATGGCGACGACGAGGAGAAGAGTGAGGAGAAGAAAGATGATGAGCAATCTGATGGTGAGAGGAAAGATGATCAAGAAGAGAAGGCTGAAGGCAGTGGCTCAAAGGACACGACTGACCAGCCACAAATTGAGGAGACAGTGGATGAAAGTGGGGAGAAGGGTCAGGGTGCAAAGTCCAATGAGGTATTCCCTGATGGGGCTCAATCAGAGCTTCTAAAGGAGTCAAACACCGAGAACGGGTCATTTAAAACACAGGATGCAGAGTCAAAGAATGAGAAGGAATCTCAAGCAGCATCAAATTCTTCAGATGATGAAACCACATATAACTGGAAGTTATGCAATAACAATGCTGGAACAGATTACATACCTTGCCTCGACAATGAGAAGGCTATCAAGAAGCTTCGAACCACCAAACATTATGAGCACCGTGAGAGGCATTGCCCTGTGGAGCCTCCTACCTGTGTTGTTCCACTTCCTGAAGGATATAAACGCCCAGTTGAGTGGCCCACGAGCAGGGACAAGGTAATTTTGTATTTTTATGATGTTTTTGCAATGTTGAATACTTTTGAATATGTCAAGGCTTATTTTTCTTCTCAGGTACTAAATTGACACGTTTCCTTGTAGGTGTGGTACAGCAATGTCCCCCACACTAAGCTTGCTGAGTACAAGGGGCACCAAAACTGGGTTAAAGTTTCTGGGGATCATCTCCTATTTCCCGGGGGTGGCACTCAGTTCAAGAATGGTGCACTTCACTACATTGATACTATTCAGCAGGTTTATGATCATTATCCGAGTAGCCCTTATTACATTCATACTTTCATGCATCACTCATTGGTTTTGCACAAGCTGTAGGAAAATCTAAATGTATTGTACTTGTTAACATCTGACTCCCTTAATAACATTCTATAAAGTTGGATTGGACTTAGGGAATATCACACAGCTACTAGTTTTGTTCTTTTGTAAGCGTTTTCCTTGCATTGGTACATAAATAAAAAATGCACTCTCTCTGGACATAACTACTTGGGCTTTTGGACTCAAGCACTCAAGCTTTCGAAACTTTGACTAAATTTGTTTAAAATACCTAATCCGAAAACATAAAAATCGTATGTATAGATTTGTCTTGAAATGCAGTTCCAATAATCTCATAAACTTATTAGATTTTATTAAGTTTTCTAAAATAGAATTGTGGTCGAAGTTGCATCTCGAAGATTGTGGAAAAAATGTTGATGTTTAGTTATTTTTGTCCAGAGTGAGTAGTATTGTACCATCATGATGAAATTTCCATGCTGTGTTTGTGAAGAACAGAAGCAGATATTTACACTATACACACGTTCTCATTCATTTCCACACTAGGCTCATACTGCTTTCTGCAGGCATTACCTGATATTGCATGGGGCAAACGAAGCCGTGTCATTCTAGATGTTGGCTGTGGAGTTGCTAGCTTTGGAGGGTACATGTTTGAGAGAGATGTACTCACGATGTCATTTGCCCCAAAAGACGAGCATGAAGCTCAAGTACAGTTTGCACTTGAGAGAGGTATTCCAGCAATATCAGCTGTCATGGGCACCAAAAGGCTCCCATACCCCAGCAGGGTCTTTGATGTCATTCATTGCGCTCGCTGCAGGGTCCCTTGGCACATTGAAGGTCTGTCTTGTTGGTGGCATTATTTTATTTTATATTTCCCTTAAAAAAACTGATATAAATCGTGATGGTTACATTTTCTGTCAGGTGGCATGCTATTGCTGGAACTGAACCGCCTATTACGCCCTGGTGGTTACTTCGTCTGGTCTGCCACTCCTGTTTACCAGAAGCTCCCTGAAGATGTCGAGATTTGGAATGGTATTGTACTGTTCTTATTTAATCTTGCTCAAATTGAATGAAGTTGCAATGTGTTCACGTGTTTAAAAAAGCCCCCCCCCCCTCCTATTTTGTGGTAAATGCAAATCCATCAGTATAGCATCTAGTCGCATCTTGTGCAGCAAATGAAAAACAATGATCATACTGCCTTTGAGACCAGATTCAATATCCAAGATGAATGATTATGCCCTAGGTTGCTCCACAAATGAAAAAGGCCCAGTCTATACATTTTAACTAAAGTTCATGAGTTGTAAAGTTTTTGCTCCCCCTCCCCCCCCCACGGCCCCACCCACCCACCCACCCACAAAAAAAAAAGAAGAAAACTATTCAGAAATAGAAACTCTTTGTAAGCATTAGAGGCATAGCTTGTCCTTTTTTTCTTGAAATACACGCTATGAGCTGATTTTCATGTAGACACACCAGGCCTGACATAATTGTTCACTGTTTTCAGCCATGTCTTCTCTAACAAAGGCCATGTGCTGGAAAATGGTTAACAAGACTAAGGATAAGTTAAATCAAGTTGGTATGGCCATATATCAGAAGCCAATGGACAACAGTTGCTATGAGAAAAGACCAGAAAACAGCCCACCGTTATGCAAGGAAACTGATGATGCTGATGCTGCATGGTATGAATAGTTAATGTTCTTTCAGTGGACCGTATATTCATATCTGAAGTGTTTCTATGCTTTATTTTAAACAAACTTTTGAAATGCAGGAATGTACCTTTGCAAGCATGTATGCACAAATTGCCTGCTGGCCAATCAGTCCGAGGGTCAAAATGGCCAGAGACATGGCCACAAAGGCTTGAGAAGACCCCCTACTGGATAGATGACTCTCATGTTGGAATCTATGGAAAACCAGGAAACGAAGATTTTGAGGCTGATTATGCTCATTGGAAACGAGTCGTAAGTAAATCTTATGTGAATGGCATGGGAATCGACTGGTCTAAAGTAAGAAACGTCATGGACATGAGAGCTGTATATGGAGGGTAAGTAAATGGCTTGCTTTCTCAATCCCATTGGAACAAATAGTTTGAGTAGAATCGATATTCGTTACAATTTATTGATAAACCTAGCATATATGTTAATGCCCTTCCCAAGGCTTGGTCTACAACTTTGTGAAAAGAAGAGTTCACTGAGTGAAATCCACAAAATGTGCTAGTGTCATAGGAAAAAAGAATATATTTTACAACCTTATTTATTTCGATTCTTAGCCCCCCCACCCCCGTAATTGACAGTGCGGTTAATTTTCAAAAACCTCCCATTCCAGCATGTGTTGTTAAAGGCCAACGATAGCAAGACTCTGTTCTAGTACCTCATTTTATTTCCTCACTTACCTATTGTTTTACATTGTTGCATTGCAGTTTCGCTGCAGCTTTGAGGGACCAAAAAGTCTGGGTTATGAATATTGTGCCAACGGATTCAGCAGACACGCTGCCCATTATTTATGAGCGTGGCTTGTTTGGTATGTACCATGACTGGTGTGAATCTTTCAGCACTTACCCGAGAACATACGACCTTCTGCATGCAGACCATCTCTTCTCAAAGCTAAAAAAGAGGTCAGTTTTTTTTATTCTCTCCATGCTCACAGTTGTTTCATGCTAGTTAGTTGCTTAACCAAAATATAACGAATGAAGGACTTATGTCATGCTGGGTTAGCCTTTTCATGTAGTTTTAAGAGCATGTTTGTGCATAATTGAATCTTATTAATGCTTAAGCTATTATATTGTTTGTTTCCAGATGCAAATTGTTGCCGGTGTTTGCGGAGGTCGACAGAATATTGAGGCCAGAAGGAAAGCTGATTGTGAGGGATAATGCAGAGACAATAAACGAACTGCAAGGCATGGTAAAGTCGCTTCAGTGGGAGGTTCGCATGACCTACACCAAGGGTAACGAGGGTCTTCTATGTGTCCAAAAGTCCATGTGGCGGCCCAAGGAGATCGAGGCAAGCATGTGAAATATACAGATGTTCAAGAGAACTGTTACTGGTTAGTGGTACATTAGACTGAATTTTGGCTCTAGATATGCATACTATTCTTGTTGATTCTGAAAAGGCATAAGCCTTGATGTAATTGTAGAATCATTTTTTTTCTTTCTTGCCAAACAAATGCACTCTATATTCTCTTCTTGCTGTGCTCTTGCTCCATTGCTGTAAGGTTGTATTGGAACCTGGAAGTGTCACAAGTGTGACAAGTGTCACAGGCAAATTATGTTCAATCCATACAGCCATGTAGTGTACGAGAAATTTCTTTGTGTTATTTAGGAGAACCTTACAAAAGTTTGTCTGTCATATCAGTCAAACATTCTGGAACTCATGGGAACTTTGGATTCTTTCATGAGTTACTGCTCATCACTCAACAGTGACATTATAATTTTGTGCAATTTGATATTCCTAGCGGTTATTTTCTGCTCAGCATTGTGACAAGTTACTGCTCCTACGGACGTTGAATCCAGTGGAGCAGCTGAAGATAGAGTGATTGCAAGTTGCAAGTTATCAACTACTGTGAAAACGTGACCCATCACTTAGTGCCAAGAAACAAAAACCATCCGGGATTTGGCATGGTTGGAAGTGGTTGAATGGGAATCCCGAATTTCACTCCGATTTTGTGCTCCCCACCTCCTCAAAAAAAAAAAAGAAAAAAAAAGAAAAAAGCGTTCTGATATTTGCGGAGAACTCAAAAGGCAAGTTGATTTAGTTATAATTAGTGTTGCTGATGATTGTAGATTATGTTCTCCAAATCTTAACTAGATCCATCTTAAAACCCTTGGATACTCTGCATTAATCCTATATTGGCCAACTTAAACAAGTATGAGAAGAACACGATTGGTTCATCATATCACAAGTTAGGAGTAGCTCTGATGTAGATAAGCCTAAATTCATAAAAACTCCCATTTATGTTGAAACCAAACAAAGAAAATCGTTGGGACCATATACGATTTCGCCTACCAAGGCAACAAAGAAGAAGCGGATTCTCATGCAGGGCCCACCGCATGTTTTGTGCAGCGCTATCGAACAAAGCAGATTTCGCAAAGCACACCCGTCCACATTGCAAAATCCAGGTCCCGGATTTAAATTCAAATTTCTCTATCGGACAAAGCGGATTCATCGAGGCGGGCATCCACCATCCACATTCGCGAAATCCATGAGCCGAATTCGAATTCAATTTAGATAAATAAATAAGCATCCATTCATCCGTCGTTCCATTATATTTTTTTTAGTAATAGAGAGAAGCCCAACCCAACCCACACGTACGTTTTGCTTCTTCTTGCAATATATGAATATGTACAGCGGTAGGGTCCAAAATTGGAAGGCGGCGCGGGGCCCGCGGTCCACGTGGGTGCCACCTCCGCCCGGGCCCACTGTCCACGTGGGGCCTCACGTGGGCGTGGGCCCCGCCAAAAATCGGCTTCTGTTCGTTCCGTTTCGTTCCGTTCGGCGATCAGCTGGCCGCCTCGACCTGCGCCGTCGCGGCGGCGTCGGCGGCCGGCGGCGCGAGCCAGCGCGTGAAGGCGTCGAGCGTGCGGGTGTCGGCGCGGTAGTGGCGCTGCGTGAAGCGCATGAGGTCGGCCCAGGTGAAGTCCGGGTAGTGCTGCGGCGTGGCGGCGCTCGGCGGCGGCCGCACCACCCTGTCCTCCCGCGGGCACAGGAAGAACGCCAGCGACCGCCGCTCCCGCCGCTGGTTCACCACCGCCCTGTGCAGGCAGCTCTTATACCTCCCGTTCGACAGCGCCTGCACACACAACAATTCCCCACAAATTCCTTCAGACAAAAAAAAATACATACATACATCATCATTCATCAACGGAGAGGCCGACACGTGCAGGGCTACATCGCCAATGTCCGTGCCCCCGTCGCCGGCTGAGCAACGCGACAAGGACAAACCGCGCGAGAGAGGCGCACGACGCGACAAGAGCCGCGGCGAGGGTGGCGCCAAATCGATCGGCATGGAACAATCCGCGCCCGCGCGCGGAACACACCACCCTAAGCTACCGTCCGCCCGCGGCGACGACGACGTACGTGCGTGCGCGCGCGTGTGTGTGGCGTGCAGCCGCACGCCGCGCCATGCCATCCCCCCCAAGCGCCAAACCAAAACCCCCCCGGGAAAACGCCACCGAAAGCGCCACCATCCGCATCCGTCCCCGCGGCGCCGCTGCTACTACTACACAAATCCCTCCAAAATACACATCCAACGAGGAGGAGAACGCATGCTTATCTCTCATCTCTCCTCTTCTCTACTCTTCCATAACCCATATCTTGGCTTGGCATGGCATGACCGAGTCTGGTCCTTCCAAGTGCCATGGATGGATAGGAGCAGGGCCTGTTTATCCTAATTTTGTTTTCTTTTAAAATGTATACTGTTATAGTATTATATAGGAAATTAACTATAACAAACAGGTTTATATACGGATGATGAAATTATCCGCTTACATCGCTAGATAGGAGTTAGGACTAGAGATGGAAGTGACTGGCGAGAATGGACACAAATGTATGTGCTCGTGTGCAAGTTGGTGGTGGCTAACTCAACTCACACTTTGTTTGTCATCAAATACTAAAACGCGACGAGACACTACTCACTACTGTTTGGAGTGTTAGGGGGGGACCCAGGGGTTGTTGGACGTGGCTGTTGGCACCTCTGGCCGTCCAGGCCCACCGAAGCTTACATGGCGTCGTCACACCATCGGAAAATATTCTCATGTCGGGGGAGATCCATATTAATTACTCCTTCCATTTTATATTATAAATGGCTTTTAATAATGTTTATAGAAAAATATAGTAATATTTTTAATATAACATAAATATATTATCAAAATATATACAATATTAAACTAAATGAGACTAATTTGGTATTATAAACGTTGCTAAGTTTTTCAATAAATTTGGATAAAACTAAAAAAACTTTAAAAAAAAAAAATCAAACGAACTATAATATGAAAAAAGTAGCTTGTTACTTACTCCTATTAACTATAAGATGTGAGATAAATCATAACACATGGAGGAGTGGGGCATTCCATTGTTTGTGATTGGAACAGAGAAATCACGTCAGGTCGGTTTCTTCCCGCTTTCAGCTGAAAGCCCCGCCCCTACCACGATCTTATTTTTCTCGTCAATTTCGCGCGAGAGAGAAAAAAAAGCTTGAATTACTTGTTCTGTTGCTTCGAAGCAGAGGAGAACAGAGGAGAGGAGAATAGGAGATGGTTTACCATGAAGGTGTCGCCGATGTTGATGACCATGGCGCCGGGGACGGGGCTGACGGGGCGCCATTCGCCGTCGACGAGGACCTCGAGGCCGCCGACGTCGTCCTGGAGGAGGATGGTGAGGGCGGTGGGGTCGCAGTGCGGGCCCGTGCCGAGCGTCCGCTCCGGCTCCGGGCATGGCGGGTAGTAGTTGCACCGCATGATTGAGCTGCTGTCCGCGAAGAACTCCCTGTAGTAGCCTCGCTCCACGCCCAGGCTCAGCTCCAGGAGTTCCATGATCGTCAGCGACAGCTCCTTCATCTCCTCGCAGTACTTCTGGTACACCCTCCTGCGCGCACAAACGCGTTTGAATTCAGCATAATCTCGGTCGGTGTGTTTTGAATTTGTTTTGAATTTGAAATGCAATGTCGTCCACCATCGTTTTAATTACCCCATTGGCGCGAAGTCGGGGCCGAGGGTGCTGGAGAAGTAGTCGGCGACGACGGGGGCGGCGGCGCGGTCGTGGAAGCCGAAGGAGAGGGTCTCCTTCCATGGGAGCTTGGAGGCGAAGCGGTCGGCGTGGGCGCTGGTGTAGCCGGACACGGTGCCCGGGACGCGGCGCGCGCGGCGCTTCTCGGCGAGCGGGAGGCGGAAGAAGTCGCTGGCGCCGTCGAGCGCGGCGCGCGCCAGAGCGGCGTCGACGCCGTGCTCGGACACCTGGAAGAACCCGTGCGTGGCGCACGCGGCGGCCACCTGCGCCGCGGCGCGGCGCAGCCCCTCGGCGTCGCCGTCGCGGAGCACGCCCACGTCGACCACGGGCATGTCCAGCTCCGCCGCCGACGCCGGCCTCGCGTCGCCGTTCGGCCACACGAATGGCTCCGGGATCTTGGGCTCCATCCTCAGGTCGCACACCGCCGCCGCCGCCGGGGCGGCAATGCCAGAGCCGGCGGTGGAGTCCATGGGCGGTGGTTGGTGCGGCTGTGGTGGCGTGGGGTGCTCGGCCACCATGAGATTGGAGATGAGAAGTGAGCGCTGTGTTGAGCGGGAGTGAGTTGAGAGCGTGTGTGAGTGTGAGTGTGTGTGTGTGTGCAGGGCGAGCTGTCTGGGCAGGAGGGTGGGGTATTTGTAACAGGGGAGAAGACGAGCGCCGTGGGGGGCCCACCACAGGGGATGAGGGAGGGGGTTGCCACTGGACAGACATGATGGTCGAATCAATGACCCCCATGCAATTGCATTGCCATATGTCCATCCTTTTAGACCAAGTTTAAAGGTAAAACTAACCCCCATGTATTAGAGTTAACACTAGTGGCAAAACCAATGGTGTTGTATAATACTCCATCCATTACGTGACGCGTTCTAATATAATGAATCTGAACAGACCCACAACTCGCGGATAGAATTGATTGCCCGGAATCACTTATTGGTTGGTGGTTGGAGTGCATTTCCTATATATACCTTTTCATTTCTTGGTTGAATTCCACTGTTAATCGAATGATTCTCCTTTGCAATTTTGGTATATTGAAGTGCGTGCATTTCTTCCGGTGAATTTCAACTAGTATAGCTTGATTTCCCACACGAATACGAGAAAATAGATTGGATTTCCAAATAGATTGACTCGGGCTTTCTTGGGCATTTGCTACTCTACTGAGTTGAGTAAGTTGTTCATATCGAGGATAGGGAATTTCCTAGCTAGTACCACAAGCTAGTCGTCTGTCCAATAAATTTTCACATTGTCACTGACAGAAAAAAAATAGTGAAAAGGACGATGCGGAATCTAAGCGATCGCCTAAACTAGCCTGAAAGATAAGTTTGTTGCTGGAAAAAAAACAAAATAGCAATAAGGTTATCTCTATTTTTACTCGCTATTTTTAATTTCTCTCGCTTTCCAATCTAATTAACACGTGGAAAACTAAACCTCTGGTAGCTTATCGATTTAATTAATCTCTCTTAGAGCACGTGTAACACCGGGGCTGTTACGAGACAGATACACAGCGAGCTCTTCCTTTTTTCGATCTCTTTCATTTCTTCTCCATTCGTGTACCAAAATGAAACCGATATGATGTAAACAAGACTTACCCTATTTGCACTAAAACCGTACCCACTTGGGCTCGCAGTAGTTTCGGAGGTCGGAAGTAGCTAGCCGCGGAATTGTTGTTTGCGACGCGCGGCTATTGTGTGGTATCGCCGATTCGCTTCGATCGTGTTTGGTTTATGCCTGACCATGTTGCAGGAAGGTGACAGGGAAATGGTTCCTCTCCTTTTCGTGAAGTACTAAGGTTGGAAGGAACATCTAGCACAGTACAGGTCACGGTGCACTATACCACCCATGCACCATACAGGCACATGAACGGTAATCAATTCATCATGAGCAATTTTGATATTTTAAAAAATATGTTAATCTTGGGACTGTAGTACTGATGGTTCAACAGCTTATAAGAGGTTCTAAATTGATCTTGTGACCATGAGGAGATGCAGAGGGCGGAGCCACGATCAAGCTAGCTCTGACTAGGGTTTACCAAATCGTTTTAGGTGGGGTTACCACAGCCCCACGGTTTGGTGGTTACCGCGAAAACCACGCGGTTATTGCAAGTTATACCGCGGTTTGAAAAACTGAGAATATTACCGCACGTGATAACTGCGATAACCGCATGGTATACGGTCCAAATATTTTATTTTTTACCAAAGCATGTTCTTCGTTACACGAATAATTCAGGTATTAAGTGCGTAATAGATATGTATGGGATACATGGTAATATAGTTCCCATTCTAGCTTCACCCAAATGCTTGTATTTATATGGTTTTCTTACTTCTTACTAATTAACAAGGTACTTGATTATGTTGGGTATATCTTTTTTCTCTACTCGGTCATCTACGTGTTATAGGTTTTCTATGATAGATCTGCTACCATTATACCTTTCATATATCAAATCCTAATATGTTTTTAATTTATAATAATTCAAGATTAATTTCATGGACTGGGAAGATACATGGCTGCATGCATTTTTGGAGGCCACCTGTTTAATGGTGAGATCAATGAAAAAACAAAATAAGACAAAAACAAATATACAGATCAACCTATGTTTACAAGAAAGGAGAACATACTTCTATACCTCCTCCGATTTTTAATACATGATGTCGTTAACTAGTAAATATACGTTTGATCATTAATCTTATTTAAAATTTTTAATATAAATATTCAAAAACATAAGCCATATGTTTTAAAGTATGTTTAATGATAAAATACATTATAAGAACAGTGAAACATATATATGTTTAAAAGTTAACAACTTTATATATTAAAAACTGGATGGGTAGTTATATTTAAATCTTGAGCAAGTAATTAAATTTTCAGTTTGGAGGGCCTGTTGAGTCACCTTGTCTCTTTGTGACAAATTTCCAAGGTGTCTATATTTTTTTCTCTGTGTGCTCTGATCTAGACCTAAGGGGCACTAACGCTAATGCTAACACGTTTCACCCATTTATAATATCCTTTTAGCGCACTGTATACGATTTCCAAAATCACGATTACCACAACGCAAACAGTTAAGTGACGTGGCAAGCATATCAACTTTGAACTATAGCTAGTGGATTTCTCTCATGAATGGCAACATGCATGCGTCCAACAAGAACACCGTTGTTCTCGTGAAACATGATTAATTGGCCATCGTCGATGATCAAATGTCAGCTCCCACAAATGAAAGCCGTGCTGGGCTAAGTTTTTTGTTTTGATATAATCCATCTCTCACCGCAGCACAAATCGGAGAATCGTCTCATTTCAAACAGTGAACAGTAAGTAATTTGGCCGTTCCTTGTTTTGTTTCTTTCTAAAAAGCCTAGGGTTTTGTACAAGCATATATAGTAGCAATTAGCTTCTGGGATACCCTAATCTTGTATGAAAATGATGGTATCGGAAGAAACTAATTATGAACATGAACCCCTAGATGCTATAACGATCACTCTCCATTGTCATGTACAAACGTGCGTGGCAGCCCATGCTTTCCGACCTCTATACCTAACTAAAGAATACTATTAGTGTGGTCACTAGCTAGCTAATAATATACTATATTTTACTTATATATATGTAAGTTTTTTTTTCATTTTTGTGCGAATTCAAGCTAAGTACTCCCTCCGTTTCGAAATGTTTGACACCGTTGACTTTTTAGCACATGTTTGACCGTTCGTCTTATTCAAAAACTTTTGTAAAATATGTAAAATTATATACCTACATAAAAATATATTTAACAATGAATCAAATGATAGGAAAAGAATTAATAATTACTTAAATTTTTTGAATAAGACGAACAATCAAACATGTTTAAAAAAGTCAACAGCGTCAAACATTTCGAAACAGAGGGAGTAGTATATTGGATCAATAGCACCTGGTTAAACATCTTTGATACGTTGGAGAGCAAAATTTATCCTAAGATACGATGATCGATATGATAGCAGTTACAGTAATATGTCTAGTGTCGTGCACTCGTGCTCTAATAAGCTGGGTCGAGACCGGTTCTTGCTCTTATAAGATTAAGTATTTTTCATTTATCAGCACTACGTGCATGCAAGCTTGGTAGGCGGACATTATATTTTGGGCTCTTTTGGTACATAGGATTCTTAAAACACATAAATAGAAATAGGAAAAAAATAGTATTAGTGCGTCCTAACACATCAAGTTTTTGGATTAAAAAGGTATTAAAAAAACTACAACAATGATTGTTTAGATGGAGCGTAGAAAAAAAAAGGAATAGGAAAAGATAGACACAAATGATATCTGTATATAGGAGGTTGGATCTCATGGAAAATTTCCTCCAAAATTCCTACTCCAAAGGAGTATGTTTCGAGCCGATCCGAAGGAATTTCATACTAGTATTTTTGGCTAGCTAATCCTCTGATCAAAGGACCAAGTAGGAAAATTTTTCATAGAACTAAATTCCTGATCTAAAAATCCTTAACCCTTCGTTCCAATTGTTCTAAAGGAGCCCTCTGACTAGCATGTGACTCATCAATGAGAGACAGCAGACTCCTCATCTTGTTTAACTAGGGCTGTGTTTAGTTCCACGTTAAAATTGGAAGTTTGACTAAAATTAAAAGTTTAAAGAAAAAAGTTGAAAGTTTATGTGTGTAGGAAAGTTTCGATGTGATGGGAAAGTTAGAAGTTTGAAGAAAAAAATTAGAAACTAAATAAGGCCTAGGAGGCAAACAACACATATTCTCTTAGTTTCTAAATATAAGCATTTCTAGGTGGTTTTGGTAAATATTACGGACAAGACAAAAAATATTATCTTTCAGTTACCATATAATTAGTTAAATTTTAAAATTTGAATGGTTGGATTACCCAACGTCCGATTGGCTGAAAAATGAAAATGCTTAGATTTTCGTGTAAAATGCTTGGATTTCCCGCACTAAAATTAATGTCCAAGAATACTTATATTATTGTGTACAACATTTAAATCCGAGAGCTTTTATACTTAGAAACAAAGAAGTACTTATTACTAGTGTAGTATATATCAGCACTATTGGCTGGTTGAGAACAATACGAATGTGTACACATTGGAGAGGTCGAAGAGAGGGGCTGAGGAATATTCTTTTCCACTATCTACCTGCTGAGGACCAAAATGAGGCTGGAATTGAACAGACATATTATCTTGCTTTAACTTTACCTCCGGCCAGCCTTTCTCCATGGTTGGTGCCTCGAGGGAAGCCACAAGATGTGTGATATGTGGTGTCAAATTTGGTTTCCTTACCAGGCAAAGGCTTCTTTTTCTTGCTTCAGATCGGATCACTATCTACCCAAAATCTCATGTCCTCTTGTCATCATCCTTAGCTAGCTAGCTACCTTTCGCCCTTTCCTTCTTTCAATCATTTAGAGCATGTACAATGCTTTAGACGATTGATACCTAAACTCTCGAAGTCATATGTTAACAATGTTCAAATAACTCGTTCGGTATAAATGCCATCTACTTAATGTGTTCATATAATCAATCAATGATTTGATTTTACGTACAATCCATAAAGTATATTGATCTACAGATCATCTCATCCTTTTCTATCATTCACATCTCCATAAATCCTGTGTAGCATTCCTCCCAAACAATTGAGAGGTGTTTCCTGTTTTAGCT